AAGGTGGGTTTCACCGGTTCTTCGGTGTCTGACTTGGTTGTGTTTGGCCAAATTAGGCCCCGTTAGCATCGCGTTTCCATGTCGTGATAATTAACACATGCTGGAGATCGGGCCAGCAAACCAAGGAACCACCAGCACTACTTGGCTCAGAGAGAACGCCATCGTCGGAGCTTCCGGATGCCGAATAAAACAAAGCCATCCGTTTGGGGGAGGGGGAAAGGAGATTGAAACTCTGGGAAGGGACGGCAGAAAAGGGTCAAACATCCGCGTTCCAGTAATCATACCAATTAAATCTGACCTCCTATTTTGGACCTGGATGCTACTTTCACCCTGTTAGAATGTCTATTAGTAACTTATTGGGGGGGAAACTATGGGTGAAGTCACAAAGAAAATTGCTTTGTCGGTATCACCCAATTAGGCCCATTAAGGTTTGTCAAAAAGGTCGAGGAAGATCCACGAACATGGGTCCTTGCTCCCACTTGCTGGGCCTTACTACTCTGTACTGGCGGTGACAGCAAAAAGAGTGACCTGCTAATACGGAGTAAGTATTTCACGGTTCAATGGTAAGGATAATTACCAGATTCGACCAGTCCGACTCTCGGCCACTGCAGGGAATTTGCCATCGCGACCAGATGATCCTCGTCACGACTAGTATTGTTACCACGATTATGTTCCCAGTCAGACCAGCTGGAGCTATTTCCATTGGCTGGGAACCCAATGTCACCCGCATCCACTTCCCAGTTTGGTAATTACCTACCTACATCATGCTCGCAAGCTAGTAAGCTTACGGAAAGACGTCACATGAGTCAGCGGAATGTTGGCCAGGATGGGCAGGAAAGCACGCTGCACAAAAGACGGCACGAGAAAGTTTGCCGATAAATGGACGACGTAGGAGATGAAAATACTGAAGTATCAATTCATTCCATCTATGTTGCCTATCTGTGAAGTTCTCATGTTACTTTGGAATATATGCACTTACTCCCCTCCCGACGAAGCCTGCCTAGTAGAGCCTTTACGTATACGATCCCGAATACGATACGATGTAAATACTGGCCCTACAGGGTCGAGCCTTCCAGCCTTGTTCTCAGCCAGTCCACTTTCTTGCTTGGCGATCCCAGTGAGCTGAATCTAGACTAGATATTGATTACTTCGTTTTTGATCCTGCTTTCATTGTGGGAACCCCCCTGCTCTCCCCTTGGTTCCACGGTAATTGTCCTTACTCTCTTCAACTCTTCATGACCCTTGTCGGGTGGAAACCTGAAACGCCTCCAGGACGTGCGATGACATCGTGACAGTTCTTCCCCTGTATGTTTATCGAGCGCCTCAATTATCCGATCAGCGTTCGTATCTTTCCTAGAAACCCAAGATTCCGCAGCCACTCCCGTATCACTACTATTAAAAACCAACTCAGCCGTATAAAAAGCATCACGGCAGGTTCCCGATCTTAGTGTTAGCTTAACTACAGAGCTGGCGCATGATTTGCAACCCTTCCCGTCTCGACCACGGGATGATTTCCAAGGCAGGAGAAGAAGTCCAGATGCATAAAACCCGCATAAATCACTTTATCCTTAGTACTATGGAGTAACGCCTAACAACCAGGGACTTCGTATAGCTTCCGAGGGCTCCGCAGCGGTCGACAAACATCCGTTTCCGTGGTCCTAGTCTGTTCTCGTCTCATCCACTTAGTTCGACGGTTTGCCTTCCTGATCATCAATCCACCCTGTGAGTTGAAGCGGGGTTACCACGTTCCGTGCACCGAAATTGTCACTATTCTTAGTGATCCCACACTCAGGCTTGCGAGACGGCTGGTGCGATCGTCCGTATACTTCACAAGAGGTGCAGAATATTGTAGGCAATCACTTTTTGTTTTCTATTTAAACATCTAATATTGTGCACGTGCTCCAACGAGACTGTCTTCTGGAGTACTTGTAGGCAGACAGATAAGTAGCCTACATGCAGTATACATGCATTAGGTCTTTGAGGCTGTGTGACGGTAGCCTTTTTGTTGACCCAACCAATGTTTCATTAATTGACCAACCAGCTATTTTTCGGTCTTGTTGAGGTAAAAAACATGCGATTTACGGTTACTATAGGGGGATAAATTAGTTATTGTTATTGTTATCAATCATCCTCGTCGGCGACCGGAAGACTTCCGCTCCGTGCCAAGTGCCGACCCAAACCCCGCTTGTCTCCGAAGCTCCGTCGCCAATACTTTCCCTTCATATGCGGCCCTGGAGAAACTCTACTGGGAGGATCCTGTATCCATGGACCCTCAATCGTTGTTGCTGAATCGGTGCCTAGGTGCTACGAAGCTTGACCCGAATAACTAATCATTCTACCTCGGCGCGGGAAGATCGTTGAATCCATACCGACCAAAGCACCTACGTACTTGCAACTTACATGTGTGCTTCTCTTCCTAAATGCCTCATAGGTATTTTTATGTCGATAATTATCAGCAACCAAATATTCTTAATTCATTCGACTTGGTTCCTCAAGCCCTAATAACCCACTAGCTGGGTTGATAATTACTTAATATACGGGCTTACCGGATATATCAAATGACGTCATCTAAGCGTGCCTTTGCCATCCTGACTTCATCGCTATTTCCATTCATTTCAGAAGTATCAATGAATTTTGGCCAGTTAACACATAATACTGCTCAGGGGTACACAAAGGTTCCGCAATGGAGGGGGATTACGGGTTCTTATTGCTTATCGATCAATGCCTTCTCCTAACTGTCAACCGGTAGGGACCAATGGCTGTCACTGTCACCTCCACGTCTCGACGATGAGCTATCCTTTACGTCAGTCTTCTGTGACTCCTGACATGACCGGATCCAGGTTAACAGAGAAGAACACATACTATAAGGAACCGAAGCTTCTGATGTGCTTGCACAATCAGTGTCAGTCTTAATGGAAAATCATACATAGTGTCTTAATTACTCTGCTTGATACACCCTTATCCAGAGCATAATATCAGTCTACATAATGTTTTCAACACTATCCCGCGTGGCCCCAGCCCCGTCGAGGAGCATCCTCCAGCATGCGTCACCTCAGATTCCCAAAGTTGCCGTATTGACGGGAGCTTCGCGAGCGCTTTCTTCCACCCCTCCTAGCCAGAAAGAGGTCACATTGCTTCAAGACAAGAAAAATGGGTTCGGATTTGCACGGTCGAATCCTCGACCCCCGAAGCCACGGACGAAGGGTGTCACTGAAATTAGAGGCCCATACTATACTGTATGCGATGTCACCGCACAGCCTGGCGAGAGTGTTCGCCCTAAAGCAGAGAGCTGATCCGTAATTGTAGGTGATGGGTAAAAGATACTTGGCGGACGTGCTTGAGACGTGAGCAGTACCCACCACTTCTGCCACAGGGCGGGGTTCTGATCAATGTTCAACAGGATGGGAACACATGTCGACGGCTTAAAGTTTGCAGGAGGTAAAACTACCGCTAGACTGGTGGGACAGGAGACAAATACTAAACAGCCTTCTAGGATCATTCTCTCTCTTTCCAGAGAAACCCTTAAGGGAACTGATTGACCTTGCTCATGACTACGGTGTCTATGTCTCGACCGTAAGGCTCTTGCTCGGAAGAGTTCGCCTGTATAGGCTTGCTAATAGTGACTTCTGCATAGGGCGGATGGGCTGAACATCTACTTACTCACCCTGACGCGAATGCCGTCTTTGACAAATATCTTCGCAAGTGCAAGGACTTGGGGTACGGTTATTTCTATGTCCATGCTTGCTTGAAAATCAGCTCATCCAACTGATTATCTCGGCAGATTCGATGTGATTGAACTCTCGTCCGGCTTCCTGTCCTTCCCCGAGGATGACTGGCTCCGACTCGTCGATAAAGTTCACTCGTACAAGCTAAAGGCGAAGCCCGAACTAGGAATCCAGTTCGGTGCTGGTGGTGACACTCCGGCGTCTGGCTTGGAGGCGATTGGCACTTCCGACCCGGCCAAGCTGGTGAACATGGGGCGCAAGTTCCTCGACGCAGGTGTCGAGCGCCTGATGATTGAATCGGAAGGGATCACCGAGAACGTGCAGTCATGGCGGACTGATGTGGTGTCCAAGATCATGAAGGAACTTCCCCCAGAGCGCGTCATGTTCGAGGCAGCAGATCCCAAGGTGTACAACTGGTATATCCGGGAGTTTGGTATTGATGTGAACCTGTTTGTGGATCATAGCCAGATTGTGCAGTTGTCATGCTTGCGCCATGGAATCTGGGGCACGGCCGATACCTGGGGCAAGATTGTATCGTTCCGGCCAGAGTAAACGGACCAACTCGGCCGTAGAGGGAATGATGTGAGCCGTGCGGGTCATGCCGTGCATCGGAGGAAATGTACGAATGTAGTTATCAAGGCCGTAAATAGCTACTAGTCGCCAATAATGCCATCGATGGTTTTAAGTCGAAGCAAGTTGCCCGATGATGATCCATTATTCTTAGTCAGCGCCGGCCCCCCATTGGCGGCCCCGACTCAATCCGGGGAAAGCGGCCAAGCATCCCATCATCCTTCCGTTCTGGCCATCCTTCCCTGCTTGACTCGCCATCTGCTTATGGGCATATCTTTGCCGTTCTGGCTCTCCCCCGTGTGCTAGAGAGATGTTCAATCCAACACTCGGCTAGTCAGCCTGGGTCTTGACACAAGCCCCCCCTATACCGGCCAGACCGACCCCGCGGTTTGCCCCTGCAGGCGGTCTGCACCTCTTCTCCTCGTCAGGTACATCACTTTGCGATTGTGGCTCTAGCGGGTTTACGGGCCCGGATCATCAGACGCTATATCAGTTTCATGCACCATCATGCCTAAAGCTAATCCACCCCCTGGGGGCCGACTCCGCTGCAGACGCGCCTGCGATAGTTGCAAGCGGAGGAAACAAAAATGCAACGGAGAACAGCCATGCACGATCTGCATCCAACGGCGCAAAGAGTCCGAATGTCACTTCTCCGACAAACCAGCGAGACTGCTTAAACCGAATAGCAGCAGCTCCAAGGACACCATGCTTCTCAGCGAACGCTTAGTCCCGACCCCACAGCGTCAGACCGCCATGGACCGACTTTTGAACTCGCTCGAAGACCGGAGTGCCAATATGGAACAACAGGCTACGGATGACAAGGATGGGACGGCGCCTGTGCCCAAGGTGGCTAGGCTACTGCGTGATGGACAAGGCAAATTCATGTACGTTGGCGACTCCGCCAGCTTGTCATTCCTACAGAGTGTGCGGAGGATAGTATCGACTTCGATCGGCAGATGCGAGTTCACGGAAGACAACTCGCGACATTCGATGCTGGAGGCGTTTCAGAGTGGCTCTACAACACATACGGGACCGTTAATATCACCACCAAGCAACGAAGAGGCTCAGAGGCTCGCGCGCCAGTTTGTGCTTGCTACAAGCCCGTTGTTGGATCTGTTCGACCTCAACGAGTTTCACCCCCGGCTTGCAAATTGGGTTGAGAACCCGACGGGTGATGAAGATACCGTCAGCTCGATATTCTATCTCGTGCTTGCGATTGGCGCGCAGGTGTCCGATATCAATCAATCCTTGGCTGAGCAGTACTTCGTCAGTGGCCGTCAGTTAGCGTTTTCTGCCTTCACGGAGACCCCGAGTATATATACCATCCAGTCGTATGTTTTGATCTCGATGTACATGCTGGGAGCCTGTCGACGCAACGGAGCTTTTATGAATTTGGGAATCGCGCTTCGTGCCGCGTATGCGGTTGGAATTCACCGGAAAGACGCAAATGCGCTTTTCTGCACCCGGGAACGGCGGGCTCGAGAACGGGTGTGGAAGAGTCTTCGTATGATGGATCTGTACCTTTGTGCCTCCTTAGGACGTCCTCCTGCGACACTAGACTTTGACTATGATTTGCGTGAAGAGGGAATTTCGCCAGGGGAGCAACAGCGCCTTCACCCGGACGAGCAGTTGTCCATGACGGTGATCTCACTGTGCCGGATCTTCGAACGGATCCTGACCGAGGTCTATATGCGTCAAGTCGTCTCGATTAACGTCGCAGAAACCATATCGAATCAACATCGAGCTTGGGTGCGCAATCTTCCAGTGTTTCTGCAGATGCAGACTGAGCGGCTGGATTCCAAGACGCTGGAAGGCACCTTGTCCGCTGCGCACATCTTTGGTTCCTACTACTGGTCGATTATTCTTCTTACTCGGCCGTTCCTCATCTTCCGAGTGTCCCAATATGTGCGGAATAGGACTGAGGCAACAGGATCCTCCGACGGCAGGGCCAGCAACTCCCGCATTGCGTTATTTGCCGACGCATGTGTCTACTCTGCCTTGCGCGGACTTAACATCGTAGATGATCTTTCTCGCTACAACACCCTCCCACGCAGACTGCCATTCCTTATCAATTCCGTTTTCAACTCGGCCGTGGTGCTGGGAGCCGCTTTCTTTGCCGACTACGACAATTTACTCCCGCTTGAGGAAGGCATGGACAAGGCGGAGAAATTCCTAGGCCTCTTTGTACCCCACGACCCACACGCATGTCGCTTCTTTCAGATCATCAAGTACCTCCGAGGCGCAGTGGCGGAGTATGTTCGTCGACGGAACCGCCATTGGATGGAGCGCCGCAGCCGACAAGTTGACCAGCTCTTCGGCCAAGTCGGGCCCGCCAAAGAAACCCCCATTGCCGAAACAAATACCCCGAGCAGTCATCGCGGAGAACCCACCGCTGTACCATCTCCTTTATCCCCCGACAAACTCACCGGAGCTTCTGCTTCTCAGCCGCCCGACTTAACTACAAGCACCACTACCGCCACTGGCCCAACCGACAGTGACATCTGGGATACGCTCTATGGCGCACAAGGCGCCGACACGCTACCATACGACACTGCAATTTCCACGCTCACCACAACCGGAATTCCCATCGGCTGTTCCCCAGGCGGTACCATCCCTGCCGGTGGAATGCCTCCGGATGCTCCAGGAGCGCAAACACCACTCTCGGACGTGATTCTCCCGGACAATGGCCTGCTCTATATGGCCGAAGACCTTCCCGTATTTGGGATTTGGGGAGATGCTTGAAGCATCTTCCAACTCACACTGCAGCTGGAAAATAAGTGCAGATATGTCCCTACTTGTCACATTACCTCAGCTCCGGAAATTTTAAATTCATTCCAACCCGATCACAACACGACTCCTCATGTCTCTCGACCTCTTTCAGAACCTCCATACTTGCTCCACTGATATTATCTGATCTCCATTAACGTGTCTGACTTGGCGTGGCGTGGACTGGCGTTGGACTCATGAACCTCTTGACTATTTATATATGAAGCAAACTGGAACTTCCCATCAATACCACTCACCATCCATACATACATACAACACATATATACTTCGTTTCTCGTGTACATACAAACCTACAAACATATTACATACTAGAATCCCCGATTGAATATATCCCATACCTTAATACGTCCAAATGACTAGTGCTCAATACAACCTGGACACACTGCCACTGCATAGAATAGTAGTAAAACCCATCATACGCCCCTTCATCTCCAACAAGTGTCACTTTAGGTCAGTTAAAATCACCAGACTACAGCATACTAACTAATATAGGCAAAACTACCACTAGTAACCCCTGAACTCTGTGAAAACAGTATATATAATACTAGTAATAATTTTACATCACATGATACGTTTATATATAGTATATATATATGTATGATATTTCTCATTATTACAATCGTCATCCAATACACTAATGATGATAATAATAATGATTTTTATTCTTCCTCATAGCATCCATCCACGATTCACTTCCCTCTCAGTTCAAATTCTACTTATATGATATGTTCGGTGGGTAGTAGTAGTTACTATTATTGCTGGAGTGGATACTATATGAATACTGAGTAGATGGGTGATTACCTTTATTGATTGTTTGAACGTGATTACTAAGTACTGTAAGTAATCCTGAACTTATTCATATCAACTAGTCTTTATTGACAGTACTCAATGCATTGTCAGTTACTACTCTTGATTGGAACACATGCTCAGGGAATCATTCTTTTCTACTACTTACTACTTACAGACTATTTATTTATTTATTCAGGAGGAATGTATAATTACTAACAATAGTTCTTCATTCACTTACACACTCACTCTTGGAAAGGTCAATTTCTGTTTATCAGGTGATCGACACATACTATGAGCCATCACCCTGATAATATATTCTCACTGTCATAGTAATCCGTGTATACCCATTATATGTGTCCGTGATACACCATCCAAGTAAAGCAAATACCAAGTAATACCAAGCAACTGAATCATACACTAGTACTAGTAATAATCCCTATTTTATCTGCTGAATCACGAGCTATATGTACCGTACATGTAATGCAAAGATTGCAAAGCAAAGAAGAAGATGCACATCGGGATCGAGCAGAAAGCAAAAAGGGTAAAAGGAAAAACGGAACGTATAACGGGGATAAGAGAGATAGATCATGTTCAGGAATTAATCGGAATGAGAAGGTGAGAAGAAACGAATGCAACACCTCCGGCCGAACGCAAAAAGAAGCGTGCAGCATGAGCATGAGGATCGAGTTGATAGGAAAGAAGTTGGGGGGCGGATGTGTACTCTCACGGCAAGAAAACCGTGAGGTGATATAGGATACAAAAGAAACCAGGAAGCAGAAGAATGGGGGTGAGTTTCTGTCTTCCCAATATTACGTATTGATGGGATGGAAGCAGCGTCGAGGTAAGAGAGAGAAGAGAACATCAGAAAGAAATTCTAGATCGCTGAAGCTGCGTCATGTAAACAAGACTCGAGACATTGCTTCAGAACTCGCTGCGTGGGTCCATTGCGTCCGGCCATGACTAAGGTAGAGAGAGAGGGAGCTCTGATATACGCATTACAGCGTCAGAAGTGGCAGAAATGAAAGCAAACCGCGGCATCATTTATGTATGATGTGCATGCCATTCCCGCCAGCAAGAAATAGCAAGCGACCATGTATAGTAAAGGAAAATCGTGTGTCGCCAAGTCACAGACTGATATATACAGGTTTGAATTAGAATCCAAACGGATTGGTAGGCGCTGGTGAGTTCCGTTAGCTTGACCCCAACCCGAAAAAGTATAAAAGTAGATGAACTTACTGGCTTGTGCGAGATTGGCCCGGAGACCGGTCGGCTGGGGAGCGAGCTTCTTGGGAGGCTCGTTCTTCACACCAAACCGGACAGCAGGGGCGGGTCCGGTCTGCTGTGGCTGCAATGGTGCAGCCGTAGGTTGTTGCGGGATTGGCGGCACAGGAGGTGCGCTGTAAGGCATGCTGCCAACACCATTCATACCCGTAGGTTGGGGCTGCAGAGGCGGAGGCAGAACGGAATTAATGCCGGTTTGCATCGGCTGCTGGGGTTGCGGCTGGAAGCCCCCGAAGCCTGTAGGCTGTGGCACCAGACCCGGGTACCCAGCTTGCTGTTGCTGGATTCCGAACTGGGACTGCGGCTGGAAACCGGTGGGCTGCGGTGCCAGTCCATTCTGGAACTGAGCCTGAGGCATGAAACCAGTAGGCTGGGGCTGGAGAGTGGGCTGGAACCGCTGTTGGTTCAGTTCGGCCAGACTTTGTCCCGGCGGAGCAATCTGCGGTCCCGACTGAGGAATACCAGTCAGTTGGGGTTGCAAAGGAGGCGGACCGAACGAGTTTGGCTGCTGAGGGAAGTTTTGGGGCGCGGAGAGGGGTCGCTGGGGTGGCGGAGGAAGCAAAGAGCTCTGTCCCATGTTCTGAGGCGGCTGGGGGCGTTGTCTTGAAGCTTGCTGGAAGCCCGTTGCTTGAGGACTGAACCCTTGGGCACCCGGAGCAGGCTGTTGCGCGGCTTGTGCCAACTGGGAGAAGAAGCCCGGCGTGGCTCCTGTCTGCTGTGGTTGCACTTGCGTTGCGGGCACCGCAGTGTGCTGGGGTTGAATGGTCGGCTGTGGCTGGAGAGCTGGCAAGGGCGCCGGCGGAGATTGCGGGGCAGGAGCCGCAGGCGTAGGCTGAAGAGGAGCTTGAAGCAAAGACAGGTCAGCCATCGCGCCTGCGAGGGGTTGCTGAGCCGGTGGTTGTGTCGTGGCGGGAGAGGATGCAGCCGGAGGGGGGCTTGAGGGAGTAGCTGGCGTCGAGGGAGCTGGAGCGGCGGCGGGAGTAGCAGGTTGCTTGGGCTGCTTCACCTCCCAGGCATCGTCGTCGAAGCCCTTCTGAACCGGGGGTTCGGAAGGTGCAGCAGTGGTGGGGGGTGTCGCACTGCGCTCTGCAGGCTGCGAAGCATCCTTCTGCTCAAAGGCCTTAGGGTCGACCACATCGCCGGCTGGCGAGGTGGGAGTGGGCCGGCCTTTACGAGTGTTGTTGCGAAGGACACCTCCAGGGCCAGAGAAGATGCCGGCGGCACCCTCTTCGCCATTCCCGATGACTTCTTCGCCGCCAAAGCTTACGTTACGTAGCTTCGACTTGGCTCCGGTGCGGCCAAACATGTTGTCCAGGTAGCGCATCACTCGCAAAATATCGCCTTCCTTCAGACCGAGCGTGCGCAGCACCTCTGGGGTGATGTCCGGAAGCACGGCCTCGTCCATGGAGTCCTTGACGAAATTTTGGGCATACCGCTCGCATTGGTGCGGGCCAACGCCGGCCTTGAGGAAGAAATCAAACCAGTCATAGTCGGATTGCTGGAAAGAAGCTCCGGCAGTAGCTGAAGCACGTTTGCCCTCAGAGGGGGACCGGGCCTTTTCAGGCTCGACACGTTGAGAACGGCGTCTGATGTCCGACAACGGCTTGTCCTCGTCGAGAGACACGCCTGTCATCTTCTCTACATACTCGAGATCCTCGACGGACATCTTCGGGATGGGAACCGCGATTTTGACACCGTTCATCTTGTGCAGATGAATCTTGCCATCCTGAAGGCCAATGAATTGCGCCTCGACAGTGAACGTCTTGGTGCGATCAGTCCATTGCCTTGTTTTGGCCGGATCCGGTTCTGCTTCCATTAGCAACAGACTCAGCACTCGAGGGCGAACGTGATGACTTACTCGGCTTGTGGCTGCTCTTGCTATCGCGTTTCTGGCGTCAAATAGTCAGCATCACCTCTAGCAATTGACACCCTGACTTTCGGTAGAGGAACATACCTGACCGTCAACCGAATCGGTCCGCGACTTGCGCAAAGCTTCCTTGGCTAGGCGCGCTTCCTCCATGCGATTCTTCTCTACAGTGGAAAGGCCCGGTTCGGAACTAATCACCGGAGTCCCGACCGTTCCGGTAATCTCAATGTAGCTACTTGGGACGACACCCTCCTTTCCGTTCTTCAAACGCCGCACCTGCCACCATTCTTCGGACTTGCCGTCATCCAGGACGATGACGTCGTCGCCCGCGGCCACCGTCACCTCATCGTCTCCTTGAGCCATGAAGTCGTAGAGAATCTGGCCCTTCTTCTGTCCTCCACTGGTACCAGCGGCGATGACCTCCTTCAGACCCTCTGCGCGATAGGCGCCGGAAATTTCACCAAGGGCTGAGACAATTTCCCGAGCAGTGTCCTTGGCACCCGCGTGGAAATCGATGCTCTTACTGGGCCGGACCAGATCCACAAAGACGTGCTTTCCTTCAATCGAATAATGGGTGAGCTTGTCTGCGGTCCATTCCTGCACATCACCACCCTCCTCGGGCGAAATAAAGATGGTTCCGGTTGCGACATTGATACCCAAGGTTGTGGGCATCTTCTTGCGCTTGCCCATTACTTCCACCATCTCATTGATGCTGTAGATATGGTAGCCGGAAGGGGAACGAGGGGTTGGCTGGCCGACTCTGCTGTATGGGGGCGATTCCTGCACATGGCCACCGCGGTCGCTGTCGCGCACCGAAGAAACCTGAGAACGAGGAGGCCGAGCGGGCTCTGGAGGAGAGTCCAGCGAGACTGGCGACGAGATCTGCTCGGACGGGGGACGCCGTGGTAACGCAGGCGGAGGTGGCGAGGGCTCGTTCCGGTAGGGCTCCTCCTCGGGCTCATCGTACGCTGGCCGTGCCGGCTGAGGGGGCGGGGGAACGGCTCTGGGTGGTTCCGGTTCTGTCGCAGCGGCATGCTGCTTGTGGATGATATCTGCAATGGCCGCGGCGGCAGGATTCTGCACGGCATCAATTGGAGGAGCTGCGCTGGTCCCGTTGACTTCTTCCTCCGTCACCGTCGGTCGCTGCGGGAGGGCGGGTGGCGCCGGTTCGGGTTCAGATTCGGCGGGGGGAGGAGATGGGATGGCTGGTGCAGGGGCATGGTGCGCGCCTGCATCTTCGAGGATTTCAATGTAGTTCGCGGGGGCGAAGCCGTAATCGGAGTTGACACCGACCAGGGTCCAGTCCGGGTCGGAGGTATCATACACGATCAAGTCTGCATCTTCGGAGAAGGAGACCTCCTCGTCCGTCTGGCGTGTATAATCGTAGAGCGCTTTGGCCGAGTGTACTGGTTGAGCCTACGTGTCCGACAGAAATTGCGTTAGCACAAGCGGTCTCAAATCTGGAGACAAGAGTTGCAGCGTTGCCGGTACCCCTGAGCGTGAGGGCCGGCCGCGGCGACCATACACCGGACGATGACGCATGCAAGCTTGAAGATATAGTCCGACTCTACGTCAAGAAATGTTGGGGGGGCTTAAGAAAATCCTTACCTCCTCGACGTAGTTATTTGGGACGAGACCCTCGGGTTCATCGTCATCCTCACGCTCAGCCTTCTTCTTAGCCTTCCACCAATCCTCCTCTTCGCCTTTCTCGAGGATGTACAGTAGATCGCCTTCGCGTAGCTCTAATTCCCCCTCCGCTTGGGGGAGGTAGTCGTAGATGGCCGTGTAGACACCGAGGAAACCCATGGTGGGAAGCCGTTAGGTAGCCAAACGGCGATGGAGAAGGGTCCGGGGGTTGTGTGCCGCGGCTGCGGAGGGCAGCGTGGACGAGCGAGGCTGTGGGCCTGGAATCAGGAGAGGATGAGCCGGACGAACCGGGTGGATAAGAGGCGGGAGGGAATGGAGGGGGGGAGTTAGGGTGGTAAATAGTATGTACAGACGAGGAAGATCGGTAGATTGGGCGGAGGAAGGAAGAGTGAGTGATAGACAGGAGACCCGTGCAGCAAACGTACCGAGTCGAGTAAGTATCTCTCTGCTCTCACTAGTTAGTTAGTAGTGGGCAGGTACGTAAGTGGTCCAAGTGGAGGGAGGCAGCCTTGGCAAGCACCCAAGCAAGTACGTAGATAGTAGTAGATTCAAAGGCTGTCTAGACGGGAATTCAATATCAGGCTTGTTCGCCGGAGGGAAGAAACCGGGAAGGTATGCAGTAGCCCTTAAAGGTAAAGTATTAAGAGAGAAGTGGAATAGAAACGGGAAATAGAAGAAAGCGGAGGGAAAGAGAGAGGATGGAGGGAAAAAGGGACCGAACTGGACCGGCGATGAAGCAGCAAGCAGAAGGAAGAGCAACAGCCCGAAAAGAGAGAGTCGCGGATGGCTGAGGGGGCCGGGCGGTCACGTTTTCTGCACCCACGTTTTCTTGGATTTATTATTATTACTTTTAGTTTATTAATAGCCAGCAAGCAGGTGTTCGATCGATCATATCTGCACCTGACAAAAAGTTTTATACAAGAATAGATGTAGTTCTTCTCTACTCCGTAACTCGGTGTGAGATTATTCTTCTTACAATTATTCTTAACATTATTCCATTTCTCTCTATCCTAACCCCTTTGGCAATGAATGAGAACGGCAATTAATGCTTCGGACAAGCCTGGAATGCCCGCCTCCCCCCCTTATCGGTCAGCCCAGCCTCTTTGGGCACGCATGGCCTCCCCTCCTCCCGGAAGCCTCCATCCATTATTGGCTCTTGTGCTCGCCATGGGCCGGAATTGAGTCTACTATTTACTTCATACTTATTGAATTTAATTAATGGCAGGTCAATAGTCCCAGTACACGGCAACCGGGATAATCGTAATCTATGCAATGGGATATAATCAGCCGTAGCTACGAACGCACGCTAGAAGAAGAAAGCACATGGTAGACGCAAAAAGGAAGTTGCACAAGGGCACCCCGATCGAGCAAAAGCAAAGCCCTCACAATAGCTACAACTCATCCTTCACCCTCTTCTTGCTTACCTCCTCGACTTCGTCGGTCTCCAATGGCTGCTGTTCTTCCTGGTGCTGCGGTTGTGGCTCCTGCCCTGCCGCCTCTGCTTCAGTCGTCTCCTTGGAAGGAGCATCCGAGACCATCTCTTCCTGGGAGCCCTCTCCATTGTCTTCCTCCTCCTCGTCATCATCAACGAGGCCGCGCAGCTGACGTTCGCCATTGACCGAGATAACCTCGAGCGTCCAGTCCTTGCCCTTGGCCCACTCCTCCAAGCGCTTCTTCAACGTTTCGAGCTTCTCTGGGTCCAGATCGTGCTTTTTCAGATCCTCGCGCGACAATTGTTGCACTTCTCCGTTTTCGCGCTTGGCCACAACCTCAATGATCTCTTCTCCAGCCCACGCGACGCGTCCTTTCTCGATCTCCTTGCCTTCCGATCCCACCAGCTTCTGAGCACCGACCTGGATATCTCCGACGACCGGGAACTCCTCCATCACGGCGGACTCTACCAGTCGCTGCGCCAACTGGTACTCCCGGAGCGCTTCCCAGTCCGATACTTGCTCCGGGTCTAGAATCTCGCGACACTCTATGCCGTGTACCTCGTCTTGCTGGGGCGGCAGGAAGGCAACGTCGTTACATAGACGCGGGGTGTAGATGACCATGAGGTAGGAGCATGTGGTCAGCTCCTTGATCCAACCAATGCGGTCTGTCGACTGAGGGTGGCAATGAAACTGGACCTCGATCTTCCGGTCCCGACCTGTCAGGTCGCATTTCGTGCCGCCATCCAATCGTTGCACCAAGTACCTGGAGCCGCCCTTCGTCTGGAGCTCTGCCACGTCTGTGACAGCTTTCTTCTGGTCTGAAGCCCCTTCTACCTCATCTTCGTCGCCCTCTCCCTGAGGGAATTTGCCCAGAATGAAGGAGTGTGTTGTATGGTCCTCCATAGGCGGGTAGTTGGGGACGCCACTTCCCGAAGGGAGGGCGTGGAACTGCTTAATCTGGTTCTTGTAGCAGAAAGAGTAGGACCACCATCCGGATATATAATACATGCATTTGCCCTCCATCTCGCGCAGGAGCTCCAGGCCCCGGTCCATCGCGCGCGCCAGCTCCTTCTGCTCGTCCGCTTCGTGAGGATGTCCGGTGGCATTGGTCCGGTCGTCAACATCGACGCGGGGGATCTGGCAGAGGAACCGCTGTTCTCCCAGAAGCATTTCCTCATAGCTGAATCCGTCGTCGCCATCGCGGGGAGTTGCGTGGTTGTTGTCATGGGTATTGCGGCCTAGGTACACTTGGGCGGACTTCTCTTGATTATCGGCAAAGGTCGAAGAGCTATCACTGCGCTCTCGCAGGAGCTCTCTGGCGTGGGCATCGAGGACGTAGTCATCGGGGAAATGCACCTCAAACTAGACGTAGAAGTCGGTTAGATTTGGGCTGTGAGGGGTGCACAAGTGAGATGCGATGCATACTTGAGGGTAAGCTAATAGGTCATCATTGATGTTGAAGGCCTTCTTGCTGGCCCAAGCTGTAGAGCTGGCACATGCCAGCGCTAGCAGAATATGTGCCGCCTGGTTTCGACGAGGCATGGTCGATTGTAGAAAGGAGACGGGGTATCAATTGAGAAGGGTCGGGGTCAAGGCCGCCGGCCGCGGTGTTCCTGAATGCGACGATCTGGCCTGATTGGGTGCGTGACGGAGACGGGTGGCCAGTGGCTTAGTGAGGGGTAGGAATGAATACACGGGGAATACGATCAAGGGAACATTATTGTAAATATGATAGCATAAGGTTCAGAATTACAGTCGGGGTATGATGATCATCGAGTGATGCACCCAGGGACATGCCAGTTGGGAAGAGCAGCGCTGCAGCGGAGAGCCGGGGATATCTTATCAGCACGTGCGCACCTACAAAGCAGTTACTCAACTGTAATTACTGTAGTACAAAGTTATGCAACTACCAGCATCTAAAGAAGCATAGATTACCATAGCATATTCCAGAATTATACATCACCCATTTCCCAATCAATCATGACTGACTAGCTGTCATTATGAAGAACTGACTAACCCCCTCCCCCAATTTATCCGTCAACGGAAAAAAGAAAGACAGCCCAGCTGCACTGACCCCACTGAGTCAGCCCTGAATAATGGCGCTAAAACTGCTGACGGCAATCTTTGTAAGAACGCGACCCATGGGCAACATCCAGATTCCAGCATACTACTTTTGGTTACGGAGAACGTAGTAATACTACTATTTTCTCTCTCCCCCACAATTGACTTTCCTTTTCCCCCCACCAGCCAAAAAGAATCATTCTGATTATGATTACTTACTTTATGCTAAGCTAAGCTAAGCTAACTAACCTAGTTTTAACTAAATCGAATCATCAGCTTACCCAAATCATTATAAGAAGTTGACTAAACCCCAATTCTACCCCATCGTAGCATCTTCTATATCATTCGCACTGCCCTCACTGCCCTCAGACAAAAAGCTATAAAAGGCCGCTCACAGAACCACATGAAACTCCTCGTTTCGTTTTTCATCGCTATCATTGCTATTGTCTTGACTTGCAATACATCTACTTTCACATCTACTTTCTTCAACCAGTTCACTAGATACTTTACCACTACAACTACATCTACCACCACCACGAACACTACCACCACCACAAATCCAACCAACATGTCCGTCCCCCGCGCCATCCGCCAAGCCTTCCTGGCCATCGAACAAGCCGAAGGCGCCGGCGCGCGCGTCCGCCGCTCCATCGGCACACGCAACCTGCGCAACTTCAGCCCCTTCCTAATGCTGGACCACTTCACAATCGGCAAGGGCGCCGGATTCCCCGACCACCCACACCGGGGCCAAGAAACCATCACGTACCTCCTCTCGGGCGGCGTGGACCACGAAGACTTCGCCGGAAACCGGGGCACGATCGGCCCCGGAGACCTACAATTCATGACCGCCGGCCGGGGAATCATGCACGCGGAGATGCCGCACGAGAATCCCGATGGGAGTCCCAACGTGGGCATGCAGCTGTGGGTGGACCTGCCCAAGGAGTTGAAGATGTGCGAGCCGCGGTACCGCGATCTGCGGGCGTCAGAGATCCCTATTGCGAAGGCGGATGATGGGCGCGTCACGGTGAAGGTCATCTCGGGTCAGTCGCATGGAGTGGATTCCGTGAGGGATCTGGCGTATACGCCTGTTTGGTTGTTGGATGTGACGGTTAAGCCGGGCGGTCGGGTCAAGCAGGTGTTGCCGGTTGGGTGGAATGCGTTTGCGTATACCTTGGCTGGGAAGACGATTTTCGGGTCTGGTGGGGAGACGAAGACCATTAAGGAGTTTCATAATGTGGTGTTTGAGCAGCAGGGTGATTTTGTCGAGGCGTCGGTGCCGGAGAATGCGGATGAGGAAGGAAGGTTCATTTTGGTGGCGGGCCAGCCGTTGGATCAGAAGGTCGTGCAGTATGGCCCGTTTGTGCTGAATAGTGAGCAGGAGGTGTATCAGGCTATGGTGGACTTTCAGACTGCGTCGAATGGGTTTGAGAAGTCTAGGAATTGGGAGAGTGAGATTGGGAAGCGCATGGCTTATTAGGTTGTTTTATTCGTTTGTTTGTTTGTAACAGCTAGATGAGATTTGTATTGTGTATTGGCGTTTGGTTTGAGTTTCTTTTTCGGTTTGTTTATATAGATCACTGAATACTATTATGAGTGATGAGATCAGTGGAGCTTCATCTAGTACAATTATGGTAGTCTGAACCCGTATTATCGATATTGAAGATAGTAAGGAGTTTAGATGAGATGCATAACATTCGCTATATCAACAGGGAGAACTCAGAAATCGAGCAAAATCATCCAGTCACGCCGAAAGGCGGTTCTCGGAACACACCCAACGGCGGTTCTGGATGGACGTAAGAATCTGACCCCAAGACACCTATTATATCTTACAGAACGCCTACTCCGGCCAAAACCGGAGTTCACCAACCCTACATACTTCTCTCTCCTGCCAACTGCAGGCTTACTCAACCGCCTTCATCTATTTGGCAAAGTGCAGGTCGTAGCCCAGCCACTTGCGGGCAAGGATACCCGGCACATCCAGACCCGGGGTGCCGTAGGTCAACGGGGCGTAGAAGACGAATCCGTAGATCGTACCGGCCAGGATGACCAGGGTCGCGGCCCAGCCCGCAACAAGGGACTTGGTGCCCATGCGTTCCTTGGCAGTAACGAAGCGTCCAACTGAAGCTGACGCCTTGGCCTTGCCCGACGGGTCGTCCTCGGACCGCACACGCTGGATGACCGAGAGCGGCTCCAGGTTGAAGATGAACTCGATCAAGGCACCAGCCACAAGAGCGGAAGCAAGATGAGCGGGGAGGTAGTGGTGCAAGAAACGCTGACGGCCCATCAGCCAGAAGGGGAAATAGTGGGCGGCCCAGCACAGGAACAAGAATCCCATGCTGTTGTACAGACGGGAACGGGAGCCTTGGCCCCAAACTATCACTCGTTAGTAGCTGCTTGCTGAAATCACAAGGATTTTCACTTACTCTCTTCCACGGCATCGACACCACGACGCAGAGACAGTTGGTCAGCACCGATGACACCGGCGAACACCGCCAACAGACTGCTGGCGATCCACCAACCGACCGGGTTACCAAGGAAGTAGATCTGCTCCCGGGTGTCGTTCTTGGTCCAGAAGCTGACACCGCGGAGCAGGAAAGGCCACTGGAAGGGTTCACTCGCGTACGGGTGGCTGCTGGTCAGGGCATTGTTGTGGAAGAACATGGCGCGCTGCAGTTCAAGGTACTTGCGGAAGAAGGGCAGGTGCTTGACCTGGCGCTCTTCCTTGACCAGACGGGGACTGTCCTCTTCCAAGGACTCAATCGACTCAACGAACCACAAGTTGCTAGTCTGGAGGATATTCTTGTTGCCGTTGATCTCGGCTTGCTTGAAGGCCCAGTCGGGCAGCGGCGTGGTGTGAGTCCACATGGCCACACGGGTGGGCATATGGATCAGCTTGAAGTGGCTAGACAGAGTGCGGAATTCCTGACCAGGCTTGCCATTCTCGATTTTAATCTCGAACAGCGTGTCGTTGTGCCGGTCACCGTTGGCAATCTCATGGGAGACAGTGGTGAACTCCTGGTTGGTCGGGTAGTAGGGAGATGCAACATCGTGGGTGAGCAGGATTGTGTCAGTGCCCATATGGCGGAGCTGAACAACATCACCGTTGCGCACCTTGTGTCCGCTGATATCCGTTACATCCAGAGGCACCGTGGGGATGATCTGCCACTGGTTGTTGGTGTCGTTGTAAGGGTATCCGGTAACCTGCTGGCCCTGACTGGAGATACGTCCATCATCGTACCGAAGGGGATACCTCTCGAGGTGGCTGTGAAGATAGACCTTGGTATCCTTGTGCTTCATGGTAATGGTGTCGTAGTATTCGATACCGACAGACTGCGCGCTCAGCACATTGTCGCTGAGAGTTTCCTGGAACTCTGGGGTCATAAAATCATCGCCGGGGCCGGAGCGGGTGAGGATGGCAAAGTGGACTTGGAACCAGAACAGATAAAAGAAGAAGGGCACAATGATCAGGGCAAAAGCGCGAGCAACGAAGTGCTGACCCCACTGGAACATGGTGAGAGCACCGCCACGACGGCGGATATCCAAGAGGTTCCACAGATCAACCATGACGGCGGAACCGATGGTGACGAAAGTGAAGACACCGACGTACTTGGTGGAGATGACGCAGCTAAGCGACACACCGGTCAGGAGCAGCCACTTCCACCATTTCCGTCCGAATGGCTCATGACGCAGCTTGTAGAAGCGGACATAGCAGAGAATGCTCAGGGCCATGGTCAGGACCAACGAGGCATCCAGAAGAATCAAACGGTCCTCTCCAATATGGGCATTGTCGAACAGGACAAGGCCAGCGGACAAAACACAAGCAGGCAGTGAATATCCGGATTCCCACATGATCAGGAACACAACGGGAACCGTCAGGGCACCGAGCGCGGCCGGCATAGCCCGAAGAGCCACGTAGGGAACCTGGTGTTCAATGTAGGAATCACCAATGTTATCGAAGAGGAAGTGGCCATCATAGCCGACCAGCCAGCCCGTGAAGGCGAAAAGGAGCTTGCCGAACGGGGGGTGGACATCGAAGAAGTAAGTGCGCTGGAGGTAGTACGAGGCAAACTAGAGCAGATTCCCGTTAGCAACCCGCCATGATGGAGCTTCATAACGATCAATTGATTGCAAGCCTACCTTTCCGAAGTGCACCTCATCAAAAACGACTTCGTTGGGGTAAGAAATCTTGTAGAAACGGGTGACGAATGCAAGCACGGTCAGAATGGAAATGGCCAGCCAATAATCCCATTCCGAACGAGGAGCAGTCGCTTTGGACAAAGGAGAAGAGAATTTATCCGCAGGCACGGGAGTACTCTCCTTCTTGCCGCCCCTCTTGCGAAGAGAGGGCGAAGGAGATGAAGACATGATTAGGTAGTGTGGTCAAGAAAAATGAACGAACGAAAGACACCTAATGGACTTCTAGAAGCCGCATACGGGGGAACAGGTCAGCAAGCTGGACGGAGCGGGCAGGAAAGCATTCGCATGCTTGTGCCTTTGTAGGAGGGCTACTTACAAAAAAAAGCAAGAAAAAGCCAGTCAGGAAAAGAACATGATAGACCGGAGGGATGAATATACTTAATGGTCACAGCCGCAGCAGCAAGAGGGGGGGCGGTTTCTTGTTGCCGATGGGGGCGGATTGCGTGTCTTTCTGGCCTCCCAAACGCTTGCGGAACGGAACAAGGCGTTGGTCCGAACTTGAAACAAGCCCCCGTCCGGGGCCAATTTATGGGAAACGTCGCGCGATGAAACACGTGTACTTCAGCGGTTTGCGTAGTTCTGCCTCCAGGGTTTGATCGTCATTATCCGTCGGAAATTCAATATTTGGATTTCAGCTATTATATAATGTTATCATGATGGTGCTGATGAACCCGATCAACGTATTCCTCAAAACTACCCGGGGATATCCAATGCCAAATCAATGCACCTCAACGCTGAACATGACCGCATGCAGTATATACAATTTGAGAGAATGAAGAAAGAAAAACAACCCCAAATTCACCTCTTTCAATCGTCGTCCGACACATTCAGTAATTCGAGTTCCGTCTTGACAAGTGACTGGAAGTCACTGCGCGAGATGCCCGTAGCTTTAGCCAGTCGGAACAGACCCTTGATGCTCGAGCCAATATGCTGTTTGACACCCACTTCATACGCCGACTGGTTCTCTGCCTCTTGTTCGAGCCGGGCCACGGCTTCAGAGCTCGCAGAAGAGATGGAAGAAGGTCGAGGGTGGTTTAAGCCAGCATGATCTCCATTGGTAGCAACGCCATTTGAAGTATTAGTCGGCTTGTCAGCTTCGTCTCCATTGAATTGTCGCTGAAGCAGTTTGGCCAGCATATCGCCATTGAGGGAGGAGGGTCCGATCTCGGGTTGGTCTTCCTCGGGATCATGGTTATCCATCGCAGGCTGTACATCACCGTAGCGAGAAAAGTAATCCGCTTCCGACTGCTGCAGGGATGAAACGGCATTAGGAGCGGGTGTCTTGTTCGCAGGAGTTCTTCCGGGAGTTGCATCGTATTGAGCCCAGTAGTCATCGTCATCATCTTCCTCCTCTTCTTGGTTCTTTGCCTGTTCAGCGGCCTCGCCTGCTTTTAAGGCGTCTTCTAGCAGGCGGTCTTTCTGGAGAGCGTTGGCCTCCCCGATGGACACAGACCAGTCTTCACCGTCGTCGACGTTGCCTTCTTGCGGCAACAGTTCTGCTACCCGCCACGCGGGGCCCCCGCCTTCCTGATCGTCGGGGCACCAGAGGTAGATAACTTTCAAGCTGAATTCAGGAAGTATCACACGCGACCGTAGGGTCTCCTCGTCCACACGCATGTACCTGACGGGGAGCTCATCGGGGAGCTCAATCTCACCCGACACCGGGTGTGGCTCGAAGGTTGCGCCATCCACCAATGTTTGGAGGCGCTCAGCCTGTCCAGCATCCCAGCACAGCAGTCGGAGCCATGATTCGGTGGGCGAGGCAGATACTGAGCTTAGGATCTTAACCCGTTGGCGCAGAATGGGAGACAGGAGGGGCAGCAGAGCCGGAGGGGGTTGAGGCGATACGAAAGCCGTAGGAAGACAGGCGAGTAGAGGTGGCAGCAGGGTGCGGGGCTCAGGAGGGGGGATGAGTGCGACCATGTTGGAGGGGAAGAAAGGAGACTGGATTGCGCAAGTCGCCTGGAGGAACTGCTGAGGTGGCAGCTGCAGGTGATTTAAGAGGGGAGCTCTGTCGACAGCTGAGTTGGGGGAGAAAAGCTGCGGCGGTGAAAAGGGAAGAAGATTGGATCAGTCACAGCCAGCAGGTACGGGTACACAGGATCGCGCAGTCACAAGCGCAAGTCGAGAGTGAGAGAACTGAACGAAGATCAGGAGGAGAGAGCCATTTTTCTATATGGCAGAACCAGGGGGAATGGAGAGGACAGACGATCAGTCAGTCAGAATCAGCAGCGTGGCCATCGCAGGTGTTCAGGTCCCCTTCCTTTCAACCCATGGATC